CTGTTGTATTGAATTGTATCCACAGTTGTGTCAGTTGAAGTAAGTTTTCTATCTGTGCAGTCTGCTGTTTTATTTAATTGTATCCACAGTTGTGTCAGTTGTGGTAAGTATTCTATCTGTGCAATCTGCTGTTTTATTGAGTTGTATCCACAGTTGTGTCAGTTGAAGTAAGTTTTCTATCTGTGTAGTCTGCTGTTGTATTGAATGGTATCTACAGTTGTGTCAGTTGAAGTAAGTTTTCTATCTGTGCAGTCTGCTGTTTTATTGAATTGTATCCACAGTTGTGTCAGTTGAAGTAAGTTTTCTATCTGTGTAGTCTGCTGTTGTATTGAATTGTATCCACAGTTGTGTCAGTTGAAGTAAGTTTTCTATCTGTGTAGTCTGCTGTTTCTGTGGCTGAAGTAGATAATTTTTTTTCAACCCATGTTGTCTTCTGTTGTAATGAGTTATTTTTCCGGTATGTGTTGATTAACATTTAAATGGAATAATTCATTTCCATTCACCCATGTTCTGTCTGTTTAAGTCATTTATTTCTCCAGTACAAGTCAATTGTTTAAGTTGGGTAAATTAGTTCAGTTGTATGCTTACTTGATAAGTTTTAGTGAGGTCTTTTAACTCTGATTTAATAAAGTAAGAAATTCTTATAATAAGTTGATAGTCTCTTGAGTTGATATTTATTTTTCAGAAAGAGCTTTGTGTGTGTGTACTGCTCCAGTTATGGTTATGTTTATTGTACGTTTCTCATAAATCAAGAAAAATAAGATATCCGTACTGTAATGTAATTGGATTTTGTTTTTATTATGCGTAGAAACTTTGTTGATGTGAATTGTTTTGTTTACGTGGCTGAAGTACTTTTCCTGAAAGTGATTCATCTAGAATGTGATCTTTTTTTTTCCTCTTTTGTTTTAAATCTGGTAGTAAATGAATAAATAAAGAATTAAAAACAGAGATTTCTTGAACTCAAAAATCTTTTCTCTTTATATTTTTGTGATATGCCAGAAATCAAGAGAAAATAATGATGGTTTCATAGCAGTGGTCATCCAGTTATTACCCTCATTGACCATCACTGGGTTCAGCCTGATTGTTCCAAGTGTGCTTGTAAAAATGACGGTTTATGAAGAGTACTCAAAAGCCTTTGAGATTAAGATAATCCTTATGAGGTAATCCTTTATTCTGTAATACCAAGTTTATCTGATTTTAAAGTAAAAACAGTAAGTCATTAAAAAAAATATATCTGGATAATTAACTTTTTTACCTAATTAATAAAAATATGTAGAAGTTTGTTCGTAACTGTGAGCATTAATGTAGCGACCCAAAGACGTCTTCTACAAAGTATAGAATTCTGTCAATTTTTATATATGCTCTTCCAATAAAGACTGTCATAGTTGCTTCCTAAGGTGACATTCTAAGAAACTTTTAAATGATTGAATCACAAATTTCTTAAATTGTCATAGTTTAAAGTGTACAATTTTCTTGTCTCGGACTGTTCTTGTTCAAGGTTCACAGTTTTGTTTCTATTTAATGCTTCATCTTCCTTACCTCACATTTTTAGTATCAAATTTATACAACATTTTAATCTCAGATTCTTAGTGTTAGTGATTTCAACTTTCTTAACCCAAATTTTTCAGTATTTTGTCTACATCTTCATTATTTTTGTTTTTTTTCGCTACTTAGTCCGTACTTCAGGTTTTCAACGTTTAATGTACACAATTTTCTCGTGTTATATTTTCACCTGCTAACAACTTTCCTACCTCGTATTTTCAGTGTTTAATGTCTGTTTTTATCTGAATTTTAGTTCAAACTGATTTTTTTAATTTTCAACTATTTGACTACTGTCTACATCAGAAGAAACTGTTTTCTGTTCAAAGTGAATTAACTGAACGTTTTATTTAAGTTTTAACTCTCTCATTTATTTCAACATGTTTTTGAAAGCCCTTTCAAGTTTTAATTACATGATTTTGTTTTACAGAATGGTGTTCCTTAGGCTGGCATCGATTGGGATCTTTAATTACATGATTTGTTTTACAGAACAGTGTTCCTTAGGCTGGCATCGATTGGGATCTTTAATTACATGATTTGTTTTACAGAACAGTGTTCCTTAGGCTGGCATCGATTGGGATCTTTAATTACATGATTTGTTTTACAGAACAGTGTTCCTTAGGCTGGCATCAATTGGGAGTTTT